TTTGACTTTTATAGTCATACCAGTTTTTATGCTCAGCAATTTTTTGTGTGTGAGATTTTTAAGTTTAAATTCCAACCGTCGTTTCCAACTCCCAAAGCAATAGCCTGATCTATAACATAGACGTCCAGAATTTTAAAAATCCCCAAAATAGTGTTTTATAATAATATTAAATTTTTTAAATTATTCAAAACACTAGTATTTTCTGATTTAAATGTGACTAAGATTTGTATTGAAAAATTTTTATTTATTAAACAGCAAAATAATAGTTAAATGATTAAAATACTAACTCATGAGAGATTTTTAAATATACAATAAAAATATTTTAGAAAGTAAGTCATATATGAAAAATTAACAATGCGTTAACGAGAAGTGTTATTCAGTTAATTAAATAAAATAAACTGGATTATAATCGTATGGTATGGTATAATAGGACTTCCCAGATCCGTTAATCTAGCGGAATGTCCTTGGTGTCCAAGTCGGTGATTATATCGGTCGACGCGCTATAAAAACTCTATACTTTTTGCTGTGAAATACACTAAATGATGTTTAAAATACAATATTATTGTTAATACAATAAACATGGTTAGAAATTGTATAATATTATTGTGCAATAGTATATAATTAATGTTAAATAGAAAATTTATTTAAATTAAAAAAAGTAATGTAACCTTTACTGCACACCAATTATTTATTATAATAATTAACATTGTTAAGTTTTATGGATTGCAAAATAAAATTTACAGTTTTAATAGTTTAATTTTCTACAATATAACCAATCATGTTTTAAATTAAACAAGTAGCGTATATTGATAAATATTTTTAGGCTATATTCAAGGGTTTATTATTATATAATTATAAATCTAGTATTAAAATTATTGTTTAAAAATTTATTATGTTAAAATAAAAACATTAAATAAAACCAAAAATAAATTATATTGAACTAAAATTTCATGAGTTTATTATAACATTACTTAAATTATAAATAGTTTGTAATTATAAATATTATTTTCAATTTATTTAGGTTTATAACTTATATTAGCTATAACTATAAGTACAATAAATTACAATTTTAAATTATACTAAAATTGAGCTAGATCATACCTTGCACTCTATAGACACATGAGTTACCGATAATAGACTGTCTATGCGTTTGACTGCAAATTGTGTATAAAATATAGATTTCTCTGAAGACATAGACAAATTAAATAATAGACAAAAATCCGCTATATTATTAAAAAGTAAATTTATATCACTATAATTCAACTTGGTAATCCATAAAAAATATCTATGTTTCGTAGCCATAAAACTATTTATAATTGATGTGAACATTGTATAAGAAATCTAAATTATCAGTAACAGTTTTTAAATTGTCAATTAATTGTTTTAATTACTTCTACTTAAATGTGTAATAATTAGTGTATGCTTATATTATGACTATAATATAAAATTATCAGTATAAAAATATTTAGCCAAGCTTTAGACTAGACCATAAAACAGTTTTTAAATTATTGACCTGTAGTAATTTTTTAAAAAATAATATACTATAACATATATAAAAGTTTTTGTAAATTATTTTCTTTATTAATATATTATTTTTTAAATCTTTTAATTGCTTTAATTATAAATACATAAAAATATTTATTTTATATCTAACACTAATAATTGAGATAATTAAATACAATAAAGGTGTATTTTTAAATTATTTTAGATTATAATTGTATTATGAATAGTTTTACAATTAGATTTATCATTATAAAAATAATAAATATCATGCAATCCAGTGGATTTCGTATATAATCTGTAAATATATATAAATTAATTATATATAATTTTTCAAAATTTTAATTTTGTATTACCTTGGTGTTTTTATATCACATTAGCCACTGGTAGCACTGGAGTTTGTATTATAGATGCCCAATTAAATATTAAATGATCATGATAATGATTATTAAATGCTATAGAAGTGCCAATGAATTAAAGTTAAACATAATGATTTGGTAAATTTAGACTATTTTTAATTTAACCCTGAACGTATACACAATTGCGGATACATTACAAACAAATGGGTATAACATGTTCTGGATATTAATTACGGTGGGATTTTGAGATAATCCGGGTAAGATTTTGTTTATTATTTTAGCAATTATATTAAGGGTTATATTAGCCAACATAATAGCTAATGTTATCATGGTCTTTACAGTTTCACGTAATATTTGCACAAACTTTGTGATCACGTAATCAGTCGTAAGTTTTACGTGACGTAAGATTTGTCGTAAGATTTTCTCGCAATAATTACGAGTAGTTTTCGGTGTATTGATCACTGTTTTGACGGTATTTGCGGCCGAATTATAGCCCGATTTGACGGTATTTGTCGTATGACTTGTGGCGGTGTTTATAGTCTCCACGACCGCCTCAATACCGGTGGCCGTTATGTGCATTGTGTTCACCATCGATGCGCTCGCCGTATGCATACTCAGCACCTGTATGTTAAATATTTATTGTGAATATTAATACTATTAAAAAAGATTTCAAAAATTTAGACAAAGTGTCCTAAAACTTTCAACAGCACATCCCCCATATCCACCATTTATTTAGTTTACCAATTTTACTTGTTAAATATTATTTATTAAGAAATAAAATTTACAGTTTAGAATATTAAGCTATTTTCTAAATTCCAAATTCAAAACATTCACAAAAATGACTCTGCTTTAATAATTTGACAAACATAATCTATTAATATAAAGGTAATAAACTCATGATTTGAACTAACTTTATTAATTAATTTAATAACTATTTTTTTAAAAATTTAATTTAATTTACGAAAAACAAGGATTAACCATGACCATCATAAAATCTAGCTATATGTTTATATCTCATAATATTTAACTAAGTCTATAGTTGTAATAGTTAAATCTATGAACAAATTATTAAACAAAAAAATGTACTGAAAACAACCCTTATTATGTGTATTGTTTATAAAATTATTATGTGGCTTTAAAATTATTTTTAAAAGTAATTTACACTTTTAAATAAAAAGATACCAGTAACTCACTTTACATTACTAAATACAAAATTAATTAACATTAAAAATTAGTTTACAGAATTTAATTATGTTTTCTAACTTTTGGTACACTATATTACTACAGTCCATAGTATTTTAAATAATAAAATTGAACTAGATCATACCTTATCGACAACAGCCCGGGCTATCTGTTCTGCAATAATCTTAGCGCCGATTAGTATCGACGCGACTGTGAGTACGACACTAGCGGTGAGTACGGGCTTAACGGCCCGTAAGATATCACTTCTCTCGCACTCAATGGACACATGAGTTGCCGACAACAGGAACACCGACAGCACCGCCAGATCTATGAGTCCATTAATGGTAGACGTAATGCCCTTATCCCGGGCCCTCTCCTGATTGCCCTCAATGTAGGCGAGTATGGCTTCCGTCGCATACCGGGCCGGCCCTATGAACGGCACGAAGTGTATCAATAGCCACACCTGTTGTATGAGTGTCTTGTCCTCCATGTCCTCACCCGGCAGTAGACTGTCTACCCGTTTGACTGTAAACAAAACGTTTTAAAATTTAGTTTAAATTAATAATTTTTAAAAATTAATTTATATATTAATAGCTAGTTTAATTACAGTATCAACGTAAGTGTATTCATATAAGTTAAATAAAGTAAAATTACCAAGATTAGTAATGAAGTCAATTAAATACGTTATATCATTAAGTAGGTATGATTCACCTAGATATTCCATAATAATAAAAAATATTCTTGTCCAATTATACCATTTAATATAATTTTATTAAATATAATTATGCTATACTGCATTTAATTTAAAAATAACAGTTTTTATATTGAAATAAATATTTTTAATTACTTGTATTAAAATTGTACTATGAACGTCTGGTTCAATCAAGGTCAGTGCTATTTTAGACTTTGGGTACATAATATACAATGATCAATATTGTTTTAGAATTATCAATGTCAGTATATATTTTTAAATATTTATAATATAACAAAATTAACTTTCTATATTTTTAAATTTTTAAACCATACATACCTTTTTACGTAAATATCCTAGTTTATCTGGTTAAGTTTAATATAATTAACTAGTTAAAACAAAATGTCACTTGGGAGACACATATGCTTTTTAATTATTTTTACTTTTTTATAAGTTTTAAAATGTGACCAGTACAAATAATATCCCCTTAATAGTTTTAATAGTTTACAAAGTTCAGTAAAGTACAATACACTAATTAAAAGTACTTTCAAAAAGTACTTGCTAAAGTTTGTCCACTATACAAAGTCAACTAGCATATTACACACTTATAATAAACATTTATGCAATTAATTCACACACTATATACCAGAATATTATAAATATTATATTAGACCGTACTATGGAGTATGTACCAAACGTACATGGACACAAAACACTATTTATTAGATAACTAATAAAAACACATTTGATTCACTCAGTCATGAATATTAATAAAAGGATTTTTTGTATAAAAAGTTTTTTTTATAAATGCTTTCATAATACGAATAATCAGTGAAATAGTGAATAAATAATTTTTGCAATTAAATAGTAATTTCTTTTTATTTTTGACAAAATTTGCTATATTTTATCACCAGGGTGACCATAGTAACCGGGATCAAAGTCTGATAAGGAGTGCGATTAAGTACTTTTGGCAATACTTTTAGTTTTATTTTTGCGATATGTGTTAATATCTTATTATTTTAGCCGATTAAACAGTATTATCAAAAGTAAAATTTAAATTAATGATTGATAGTATCATTGTTAACATAAATATAAAAAATTTTAATATAGTATTTATACAAGTACATTTGTACATGTCTCATTAAAACATATTAAAATATTTATTGTGATATTCCCGAAAACTGTAAAATAAAATAGTAATTAATTTTGTTACTAATAGTAATAGAAAGTGTTTTTTAACGGTGAAAGGTCTGAGCAACTTTTAAATAGCATTTTGAAAAAATTTTAATTAGTTTAATTAATATTGTATTTATATATAAATTTGAACCAGTAAATTAAAATTATAATCTTAAAATAATTAAACCATTGTTTTTAGAAACGTTAATAGTTTAATCATGTGCCATAATTAAACCCGCATAGTTTTTAGATTGTTTTTAACATTAAGTTAGTATTTAGTTTTTACTTTGTATAATTTATTTATAAAGTTACTTCTAGGTTATTATTTAAGTTTTCAAAATATAAAGTTTTATAATAAAGACATTTAATTTTATTTTTGATATATGTTTTAATATTTTATTATTTTAGTCGATTATATACAGTATTATCAAAAATATAATTTAAATTATTGATTGATAGTAAGTATAATTGTTAACATAAATATTAAAAGTATTAATATAGTATTTATACATGTTTCACTAAAAACATTATTAGAATTATTATTGTGCCTTTTTTAAACTGTAAAACAATATAAATAAATCTTGCTATTAATAGTTACTTGAGTAGTTTATTCACGGGTTTTAAATACCGGTGTTAGTTTATAAATTATAAAGTTAATTCTAGGTTTTTGCTTAAAAATATAAAGTTTTCAAAAATTTTATTTTTTATGTTTACGATATGATTTAATATCCTTTTATTTTAACTTGATTAAAACACACTATTATCAAGAATTATAGATTTTATAATTATCATAACGTTTCATAATTAAGGTATTAATATCAATATAACTGTAAAACATAATGTAAATTAAATTTGATATTAATGTTTATAAAAAATATTTACTTATTGGTACTAAAATAGCTACATTATTTTTAACAAAATTTTAAGCAATGTTGTAAATGTTATTTATAATGTTATTTTTGGAACAATGTAGCAATGTTAATTATTTTTAACAATAAATTCAAATTATAAAAATAAAATACTTTCTGGAAATCTATTACAATGTTTGATTAGATTCAAGTGGTTATCAAACTTTATTTAATTGTATTAATTGTATTAATTGTATTAATTGTATTAATTGTATTAATTGTATTAATTGTATTAATTGTATTAATTGTATTAATTGT